TGTTTAGGGTCAATAAAACGCTTGACAATTGAATACGAAATTCTGCATAAGTTGATCGTATAGCATTGTTAAAAGTATTTTTAATAATGTACATATTATTTTTAATTTAAATTTGAATGAAGAATAACAATTTCAGTTCCATTATAGTAATTCAAAAATATTATTTGAAGAGAAATGAAACTTTTAAATGTATTATATTTTAAATACACAATGGAGTTTTTGAAATATTTAGATTTATTTTAAGCTAACGATTATTACTAATACGAACATATTCTACAGTAAGCTAGTATTGAATCAAAAGTGAAGCCAAAAAAATATTTTTATATAATAAATGCAATGTTTTTGGCAGAAATTAATTCAACCTATCGTATAACTGATGGTAAAATAAATTACTATACAAAAATATACCATAAAATATACTTGGTAATTGGTGTTGGTGATATGTTTGCAGATCTTCTCAGCTCAGAATCGTTTTCCTTACACAACGATTTATCACTGAATTGAAATGTAACACAAAAATTACAGTTAGGTACTAACTCAATGACAAAGTACACTCGAGTATATGCAGTATATACAGTGAAACCTAATTTTTTTAATTAAAATTTTCTGAAAGGAGTATAAAAGGTACAGATAAGTATAAAGGAGCAGAATACAGCGGTTGATAAATAAAAACACAAGCTAATGCAGTCAGAGAATGTACAATGTTTATTATATAAGACAACAGTCCGTAATGAATAATATTACAACATATATAATCGAACAGAGTCCAGATTCTCCAACAATTTTTAAATTTTTATTGAAACACCAAGCTACATTAAAAGTTATAATAGGGCCAAAATAATTTTTGGGGTTAAAATGTTTTATTATTGTACCATATTCTATGTGTTGTTATATAATAATAATAATACAGTACAATAAAGATAACTATAAGAAATAATGTAGGAATAACTAATAAAATATATTTATCATCATCTTAAAACTCATTCATAAAATAAATTGCAAATAATATTATAAGCCTTATTGATAACATCTTACAATTAAAATAACTACCTATCTATATATCTATACTACTAAAAGGCGCTACTAGTTTCTAGTACAATGCATTCACAGTGCATTGTAGTAGCAGTAGTCACCTTTAATCTTCTATGTCGTTACCATTGTGTACGATTAACGCAACATCTTAATAAATATTTGAAAAAAAAAGTAAATCATAACCTTAATATAATAGAACGCTCGAATTTCGCTAAGAGTTCCCGTGTACGTACAAGTATAATAGTTTATGGTTTGCTGTTTGTTTATTCTAGCATAAATGGCTGGGGGGCAGCACACGGTTTCAAAGAAAATAATACATTACAGAATAAAATAAAACAGATCAAAACAAAAACATCATACAAAACCTTAAGATGTAAATATAAAAATATAATATATATATATCCTATTTAATAAATACTTAGCCTAACGTTATAACTAACTTAATAATAAACACCGAATGTAAATAGAACATATGCCATACAGAGGTATGTCTGAAACATGTAACACTCTTATGGCATGCCTAAATTTAAGTAGAATGATCGACCCCACAGTTAAGACTAGCCAACACCACCGCATAAGCAGCAGAACAGCGTTGACGAGTCTTAAACAGGTAATAATTAAAAAATTAATAAAAACTGAAATTAAAATTAAAACTATCTAACCTATATAAGTCTTATTGAATATTATTATGACTAAAATTATTCAACAAGTACGGCATGGCCATACTTTGCTGGATAAGCAAAGGTCAAAAAATAAAAATATAATTAAGATTCTTAACTGATCTTTGTTACCAAAACTAAGCAGTTAAGAGTGAAAATAAACAAAAAGTATACAAGCACAGAGCAAATTTATTGATAAAAAAAAACAAACAATAAAAAAAAAATATCAAGGTTATTTTGTGTACAGATCACAGATACAAATTTAGTTTGAACGAACGTTTTGAAAAAAAAAATAATAATAATAAAAAAAAATAATAAAATAAATATAAATAGAATTCATGTACAATTGGTTTCTGCTTACTCGTAGGCATTGCCAAATTAACAAATAAATAACAACTAAAACTGAATAATGGGGAAGTCTTGGAAAGTGTCCACTACCTCGACACTATTCCCATGGGTATGACAATTTGATTGTCTAAAACTTAAATGAGATAACTTAAGAAACAATATAATGTTTTGTTCAAAAAAAAATATTTAAAAAAAAAAATAATAACAATGGTTTCAGGTGGTGGCAAGGAAGGAAGTGTGGTAGAATAGAATGTATAGAATTAAATTTAAATTATAACATAATAATGATCTGATTATCTGAAACACAACTACGCTTGAAACTGGGCAAAGAAAAAAATATCATTAATTGTGTTTGATTCTTAGTATCGTACGTTTACGATCATCTTAAATATTGTTATTATTAATAATCAAAAACTTAATAGTTATTCGTAAAACACTAAATTATAATAAAACTATGATAATATTATGTATTATTCAAAATACATAATATTATACTCACTACCTTAATTTATTTCCGTTATTTTTGTGATCAATGGAATCTTGAAAGATCCAGTACAATGAACTACATCTACAACTATATACACTTGCTTTATTTACAAATAAGCCTTAACGTAATATTTCTATCGTCTACAATTATTGTGAACTAGACTAATGCTAAACTTTAAACATAGAAGTACACACTAAGGCCGATACAACCGTAATGCGGTGGTGCGGTATACATCGTGTTCGAGACGGCGAAGAGACGCAAGTTGACGAATTATTAATGGCAGCGGTGCGATACGGACGATGGCTGGTGTCGTGTCGAGTTATTATTGTTCGATCTATTCGTCGGTGGCGGCGGTGGCCTGAGCTTCCTCTCGCTGCTGTTGTTCTTTGGCCTGCCTGCGCAAAGCCCTGGACCGGATGCTCAGCATGTTGTTCATCACTGTACGGGCCATCATCGATTCGGATATGCTCTCGGCGAGTTCGATGCCTTTCACCTGCGAGTCAAAATTACAGCGGCCCCATTAAAACAATTATATTCAAAATCCAACGACTGCTGCACAACTCGTGCTGAGGGTAGAAAGACTGTGACTTACCATCAGTGAGTGTGGCAGGTAACCAGTGGTAACCGGTTCCAGTCCTGTGGTCTGAAGTGCCGATCGGACGAAAGTATCCGGCGACGGAACCAACCACGAGGTACGAGCGATCTTGCTCATCTTGGTGGCTACGTAACCTGGCATCACGCACTGCACGGTGATGTTTGTGCCGTGCTTGCCCCTGCCGCCGTATTCGGTGTTCAGTTCGCGGCTAAATTTCTCAACGAATTTCTGCGGCATGCCATAAAACAAACAAAAAAATCGAGTTACGATAGTGATTACAACATATAATAACAAAAAAACTCATCAAGCTGAGACTTGGTGATAGTAATTCTATCGTGGGCCGTCAAAAAACGTAACACATTATGTAGAAACGGTAAGTGGAATATTCAATCAGTATAATTAGTATATTTAATACGTATATAATGTAAACCACCATTAATTCTTGGTTATAAATAAGAAAACTATAGATTCAAATAGCATTGTTTTAACGAGTTGCTATAAAACTTGAAAACTTGTAATAATATCTTTGGATTTATATTAATCCCCCAAAGTTAGTATCAACCCCAAACAAATAAATTATAAGGCTCTGGTTGCGCTGGTACAAATATGATACAAGTTGATACCTGTTGTAACAATCATCAATCGATGATAACAATGATAACAATAACAACATTTTATACGACATGCGGCATTTACCTTGGTGGCTCCGTACATCGTCAACAAAGGGCACGGAATCCGGGACGCGGTGCTTCCGATGTTGATGACGCACCCGCGCTTCCGGTCGGCCATGCCGGGCATCACTAGCCGACACATGTTGACCATGGACGTGATGTTGCACCGGATCATGTCGTCGAACAGTTGAGGTCCCCATCCGGCAGACGTGGCGGCCTTGCCACCGTCCGCGTCGTTGCACCGGTCTTCGGCGGCCTTCAGGAAGTACTCGGGATGTGGGTACGACAGTCCGACGTTGTTGACCAGCACACCCACCTCGAGCCCGTGCAGCTCACGACCCACATGGCCGTACACCGTGGCCGTGTCCGGATCGGCGAAGTCAGCCCGGATGCACTTGACGCGGCGGCCGGGGTGCTCAGCGCGGATCTCTTCGGCGGTCGCCTCCAGCTTGGCCTGCGTCCGGCTGACCAGCACGACGTCCATGCCGCGGCCGGCCAGTTGCCGGGCGTACGCCTTGCCCAGCCCGTCCGTGGCGCCTGTCACAACTTGAACACAATAGCGCGCGCACGCGAACACACATTTTAATCACGCGTTGATCGTCGACTACTATTTGCAACATTCATATATTACTTTTACGCCATTGCGTGAAGCACATCCTCGAGGATGACATCGACACGCAATAATGGAACTAAAGATTCATAATGGAAATAAAAACGGCACACGGTACAAAAATATATATATTGTAAAAAGTAGAAAAAATATTTATATAATTTTAAAAATATATACTATGCATATGATTACTAGCCAATTTTGAGAATTAATATTTAATTTATTTCATTGTTTTCGTGAAGGGGATAGGGCGGGACAGTACTTAAAAAAAAATTACAATAAACAAAACAAAACCCAATACAATATTGTGTAGTATATATAATATGATATACTATATAATACACGTTACACGCATATACAATACGAATCGACACACACGTGGATGAGGGATGACGGATGCTGTATACAGGTAGTACGTGTAGGTACTAACATATTTGGTAAACATTGTTATAGACTACGGTGTGCAACACCCCATCAGTACGCGGACGGTTGCCTGCATTAGCAGAATTTTGCGGTGATGGGGTGGTTATTGATTATTTTGTCGGACTTATATCGATAATACAAAAATATATTAAGATGTACAACACAATATTGCCTGTTCTTATTATTATAGTAACGCAACGTCATACCATTATAAAGAATGGCTAAACGAGTAATAAAACAAATAAAATGTCTGACCTATACATAATAAAGAATTGCCTCAGAACTGTACGTCGTCTTCCAATCTCATCATGGGCCATATAAATATATAATCATAATAAAGATAATTTAAAAGTATTAAAATACTCGTTGTTTTAAATAAATAATATAGACAATAATGTAAACAATATAGATTACGTTATTATAACGTCTAACTGAATATTTTGTGACTACTGCAAGTGCTGGCGATTGATTCTTAAACGTTGCGCATTATAGAAACACGCAACGTAAAATAAAACGAACTTAAAAACTATTCAAAAAGTTTAAATAATATCTACAAAACATTCCCTCTGATTTTTTTTTTTTTTACATTTTTTTTACGAACATTCGACACGACAACACGATGATGTCTGGACCGAAGCGCAAGCTTAAGGCACGCTAAGCGAACATTAACACCGACGCGCGACCGCTCGTGTTTGATAATATCCAGTATTGTGTGCATACACCTTTGCAAAATAACAAATGGTATGAATACTTGGTAAGGTTCTGGCGATAAACACTTAAACGTTGCGCATTGAACACATACGCAACGTAAAATAAAATGAACTTAAAAACTAATCGAAAAAGTTTAAATAATACATATAAACAAACACTAACTCTACGATTTTTTTTAGAATTTTTATATTTTTTTAATTTTTTTAAACAATTTTTACGAACATTTACTACGAGAACACGGTGACGTCTGGACCGGAGCTCTGGCTCAACGCACGCTAAGCGGCCAAAATAACCGGCGCTCGACCGCTTGTGTCCATCAAATATGCTTTTCAATAAAAGTTTGCCAAAATACCAAATGGCATATAATGGCGGTAGAACCCGTTTAAACTATCTTTCGATTTACATCATTATATACTAATTCCCACCTCGGCCACCATAAACCCACCCAGTCTATTGTTTTGATTAAATGGTAAACACGGCCTTTCGGATTACTAAGCCTAACGATGTACGGGTAACAAAGGCGAATCTTGGACACTGGCCATTTTCCAACGCCAGTTGTCCCGCACGAATACCTTATAATTTACATAGTGGCAGCTGTACAGTGTACTCACCTCTTAAAATTAAAATAAACATTAAAATCTTAAAATTTAACTGCAAACCTTAATAAAAATATATAAACAATAAACATAACGATAAAACTTAAAACACTTCTAAGTCGGTGCGCTTTTCGATTTTTAGACCTACCATCATCAAATATTGCATAGTTATTAAAAATTAAATATTATTTTATATATACTACTATAAACAATGATTTATTTTTTTTACCGGCTGTGTTAGTAATAATTATTATTAAAATATTTGTACATTATTTAAACTACTTATGAAATTTAAAAAAATTTATAGTTAGTTAGAAATTAATTTTCTTGTCAACAATTCCATAGAATTTTCACATTTTCAGGTAGTTTTTTTTTCAACCTTTGTAATACAATTTTAAAAAGGTTTAATTTTTTTTTGTCACCGACTTCCCAAAAATAAATCAATATATAACAAAATCACTTTTAACAAATTACCGACGTTCTTAGGCCAATTATAGCGATTATTAATAAATAATAATTCTACCGAATTTAAAATTGAATCCTCAGTGCGCCCCACATTTTTTACTTATTTTAGAGTCTGTTGCGATAATTTTGACGGAAGAACGCCGAATCTGTGGATGGAAGCACTATATGGTAATTGTAACTAATTCATAAATAAGCATGATATTTTTTTTAATTAAATTTTTTTCTATTCTAGAAAATAAATATTAAAATCAAGCGAATCGAACTGATGATAAATAGTACGTACACGGGCATAATATTCTACTCCGTTAAGTCTCGAGAAAAACGATGCGTTCTCTCTCTCCATACATTACAAAAAAAAAAAAAAATAAACAAAACTATATCTAACACACATATACATTTCTGATGATTAAAATACACATTGTTTAATATTTACAGTTGATTTTCGTTGACATATTCCCGTCTGCTATTGCTTGTTGGGCTGATTTTCGATATCCGAAGATGACGGTTTTAGCTTTTGCGCGTTCAAAGGCGAATTGCTCCTATCTCGGGACCGGTGTCGCTTTGTCGCCGGATTCCTTGCGAGGCCGCCACCGCCTACAGCGATGGTTGACAACTCATCACCGGTCGACATCGAGTCGTCGGCGGCGGCGGCGGCGGCGTCGACTGCAGTGGTAGATGTAGCGGTTGTCTGGAAAGTCCGATCGTCAGCCACACGAGTGTTGACGGTGTGGTCGGAACTCTGCCACTGTCCGGAAAGCTCGAGCGCGGTCGACGAAAGTGTAGCGGTAGCGCAATCGTCATCTAGCGCCCGCTGCAGGGTCGATCCGAGCGCTTCTGGTGGTGACAGTCTCAAATTAGGTTGCCCGGAGTTCGCTTCAGTTGTAGTGACGGTACTAACGCTAATATTATTGGTGGGACTGGTAGTGATAGGGGGTGAATGCGGCAGCTGCGGCGAAGATGGACGAGGGGTTGTGGGAACTAGTGGCCGAGTGGGCGACGTCGGCACAGACGGCTGTGATCTCGAAATACTCTCCATCACCTCTTTTTGGCAAATGTCGCTCTGGTGACCGCTTGGCGGCGACGATGAACAAGGTCGAGGCGACCGGTGGTTGTCACGGGCTTGATTGCGACTACGATTATTAACCAGAACTACACGCGGAGTCAATGAGTTGATCGTGGTTGTGTGAGGCGATTTCGCAGTCTTTGAAGACAATCTGTTTTTTTTTCGGCGGGGTGGGTGGTATTCGATAATACAAGCGTCTGAATCATCAGATCCGGAGGAAAGAACAATGACTTCTGACGAGGATTGATTTGGTTGTTGCACATCCACGTCGTCTTGCCCAGCCGATAAGCCTGGTTTCTGTTGACTCGGGTCGACTCGAGCAAGTGGAACCTTACATTTCTTAATTATGCTATGAACGTAGGGCAAAAGTGGTTTAATAAATCGAAGCTCAGTAGTTATAGATGTTAATTGGCGAATTGGGCTACTACCATATACTTCCCTAGAATGTCCCGATTGTGACGATTTTAGAAATTTACCATCATCGTTATATAATTGGGGATAGTTAACCTTAAAACGATTTCGTAGCTGTTGACGTCGGTTCAACCGCTGCAAACGCCTTACATATTGGTGATACGAATACGTATTGTTACCAATACGAATCATCCTTTGACTGTTATCGTTGGGATTTTCATCACGTTGATAACAGTCTTTGCAGCGATTGTTATCAGGTGATAAAGTTGAGGGTGACTCGGAGTCACTCGAAGACGGTTCTGTATCTGTAAAGTCCAATTCTTGAATTATTTCGTCCAAATAATTTGTCTGTATTTCACCGTCTGGCCCTTGAATTACTTTGATATAATTGTCTTTTGTAATTATAGTGTTCGCCCATCGCATAAACTCAGAGTTGGTATCTGAGTAAAGATTTTTGGCGTCGTCAACGAAACACATCGACACTAGCTCATACGCAGATCGTATGGCCTCAAGATACCGTCTCCGCAACGACTGTAGCCCACGTATATCACGTTCTTCATGCATATGTCGTTTTTTTAGCACCTGGTGGACCGAGTCTACTTTTCCCATGTTTTTACGTTGACTATTCAATTGTTCTTTTTTTCTCTTTAAAAACAATATTTGCATTTCGGAAAAATCATCAGTATGATCATAAAGAATATTGATGTATCGCTTCGTTTTATAATTTAAGCGACGTTTATACCGGTTCAATTCTTCGTTATTAATTTCATCATCTTCAGAGTCTGCATTGTATTCATCATCTTCATCGTCTTCATCGCGTACATCGTCTTCATCATTTTCATCATGTACATCGTCTTCATCATGTACATCGTCTTCATCATGTACATCGTCTTCATCACGTACATCGTCTTCATCGTCTGTATCGTGTACATCGTCTTCATCGCGTGCATTGTCTTCATTGTCTTCACCGCCTGAGCTTAAGATAATAACATCACCATTACTTATGTTACCATCACTTATGGCGACTGAAGATATTGGAGACTTCGGCGGTGCTTGGTCAATTTCCCCAGGTGTACTTAAATGCTGTGGTGACACGACCGGTGGAATCGTTTTTTCTGAATTTACTTGCGACTTACTGCATTCGTCGTCATTACTAATTAAGTTATCGTCCATATTAAAATCTAAAATTTAAATTGCAACAAACATATAATACTACAAAAGCGCTAAGTATAATAAAATAATAATAATAATAATAATAAGAACCTTTATAGTTGCGTAATCCACACTTAAAATTCGATGCCGACTTAGTGTCGTGGTGAATTTCTATTACACTGCCTGCGATATGTACAATAATCGTATATAGTCAGCGTTTGGTCATCAGTTAATCGGTCTATACCTGACAAAAGTGACGGCATAAAAGAAAAATGTTAGGTCAGGTAAAATAATATTATAGAGGTACTCGAAGAAAAATCATATAATAGTAAAAAACGGAACGCGTAAATCGAACAAATACGCGCTCAACAGTTTATCTTTTTTTCAACGTTTGGAAAGGCGGACGGACGTTACGCACGCGCAATATTGACGTAATTTCGTAAATAAGTTGGATATCGACCGGTACCAACTATCGAACGAACACAAGGAGACGAACACGTACAAAGCCACGCACACGCGCACTACGTTTGACAGAGTGAGCGACGGACAGCGAAGGCAACCAGACACGACTTGGCCAGCTATAATACAACCCCTTTGCAGGTGCCCACACCCAATCGACGGGCTGCGCGACTTAGGCGCCGTTCGTGGGCAGCGGCCTTCCCGCAATGTTTTTTGTGTTGGCCAATGCACCCATGCCACCACCACAAACATTCTCCGTATGTGCGTATGATCCCCACAAAATATTCGATGTCCCGCACTCGTCTGCTCACCTGCAACTGTCTATCCCTAATATGGCAGAGGAAGAGCGGGCAGTGCAGGTGGCGGTGGCACTGCGTTGTTCGGGACGTCGATGATCGAACGCGTAATCCTATTACAACATTTGTTTCAGCCGCCATATTCCTGATAACCAGAGTACCAAATTTGAAATGCAACCATTACATAGACAGTAGGTACCTACTGATTATATGTACAAACATTATTTTGTGGTATCGTCTATTTTACGATTATTAATGGGTACTAAGTGTGTCCCGACTTTGATTTCACGGATATGATGACTATTTTTTTTGCTGAAAATTTCATATTTTAAACGATTAATTAAATGGATTTCTAAATTTATAATAAATTCTACGTGTAATTTAGACTTCAGAGAAACAAGAAAAAGTGGGCACCCCCCTCCTGTAAAGCAGTTGTCGAGCTTGTATAATGGACGTGTTAGATTTAAATTAAATGATAAATCAATGCATACGAAAAAACGATAATAAGCGGAGACAGTGTACCATACCAGCATACTTGTATAATCGTATAAACTATCAAACGTAAAAAGTAGACATATTAAAATATGATACATTTTCACATCAATTTTATAAAACTAATATATTAGAATAGGTATCCAGGAGATCTTCAACATTTTTCAGACAAATTTATTTTAAAGAAGAATTTTATCCAAACATTTAAAATACGTATTAAACTTAAATACCAACAAGTACAATACACCATGTGTATAATAGCAATAATACACAACACATATTATATTAGGATTTGTATTTTGTATTGAGATTTACACACGAAGTTTTACTAGTTCATCCATTAATATGGCTACACTAATTTTCTAGGTCATTTTTTTGTATTTTTGTGTAAACGAAAAGTAGTGTCTCAAAATAACTTACAATACTTTTCTCAAAAAATTATAAACATAAAATAATGTAAGACGATTTTGTAAAAATGTAATTAGTGATTTTAATAATCGTCGAGTGGCATGCAAATATAGACATATATGTAGGTAAATACTTATTCATTAGACAGTTATTGTGTGTATAATTTCGTATCGTAATCATCATAATATCGATGAGTGGTTTTGTGACAGCAAAAGCAATACTAATAACACACTTAATAGTCTAATGTGCAGTCAATTATCACACAGCCACACATTGACACAAACAAAAAAAACACAAGACACATTCAAAATACATACAAAACACACATATAAAAACATACATAATGCCTAGGGAATTAATATTATATTTATTTAAGGCACAGTAACTCTAGCCCGCGACAAGTTGATATAAATCAGGAGTGCTATCACAAAAAAATCTCTCATCCGTAAACAAATATAATCTCCTGGTGTGGCAAAAAAACCAAATATATTATATTGTTACTGTTGGTCATAAACTAAATCTAGGTATTAATTATAATTTCTGTTTTCAAGTAGTAATCATTCAAATGAAAACCGTTCAGCTATAATATTAAAATTAAGAAAAAATCCAAATAAATTTCACCGGACTAATTTAATAATTATAATTATTGTTATTCCACACAATGTTATAATAAACGGTTAATGCAATTTTATTTTTAAATAGATGAATTTTATTTATGTTTAATAGTTATTTATATAAAGTATTGAAAATAATTATTATATAAAAATTGAAATCCTGTACAAATTACAAACAATATAGGTTTCAAAAGTCGAAATGTTAAAATTGTGATCAAGATAATGTAAAAAGTTACTTCAATGAAATTACTTTATTATTGCATAGTGCTAAATATTCACAGTAAAAACCGGTTTGAATACGTCAATGCGTGGCAGTGAATAAATAAAGAATAATAACTAGGAAGCCGTTTTATTAATATAAATTATAATATAATTTTAACTTATTTACATTTTGTATAATATTTATATTAGTGTATATTTTGTTTAATGTATGTAAATTAACAATTTGATTTCAAGCATTTCCGAATTCATTAGATAATGTTGTAGTCAGTGTTGAGACTTATCTATATAAATATTATATTAATTATCTATTCTCTTATCTAAATAAAAATCTAAATGTCATCTATTTATCTATCTTAGATGAAAACTCCAGCCATTTACTGTTATCTATCTGGGTATTTTTTTTATAATGCAGAAATTATTTTAATTAGTTTTAATATTATTATATTTATGTTTTCAGTAATATTTGCTATTTTCATTCGTGTCGTCGCCATACGTCAAAGATGACGATTGGACAATAACAATTTCTATTATAATATAATATTATTATTACTTATTATTCTTTAGCCATTACTCATTATAATAATAGTCAATAACACTCTATAGTCGTATTGGTATGCCTAAAATCCAAATGCTGGTAGATATGTGAATAATATAAATAAATGAAATGATGTTAGGTCGAAACGTGAAAAGTACGAACTCCGTAGAAATAATAAATAACCAAAAAATAGTTATTTCGTTGTAAATAAGTCCCTCGATTGCGTACAGCCTACGGGCGCAACCGACCAAAAAATGTAGTATACCTTCATATATAGTGCACATATACATAGGTACCTAATAAGCTAATGTATTTATGTTTACGTCGCAATATATATCGACAAAAATATTTATTTGTTATATAATAACTATGTTAGAAAAAATCTAATATATAAAAATCTCGTGTCATAATGTGAAAAATGTTTGTTACCGAACTCCTCCGAAACGGCAGGACCGATTTTCATGAAATTTTGTGTGTATATTAAGTAGGTCTCGGAGAGTGATATAAACTATTTTTCATTTTCCTAGGTGTAAAGGGTGGCTCACACAAAATACTTTTTAATATTTAACGTGTAAATTGAATAATAATAATATTACTCATCGACTACCGAGCGTACAACAACCCTATGGTTATAGAATATTTGTATCAACATAAAATATAAAAATAAAATATATGCAACTTACATAAAAAACCAGAGCATTGCAGGAATATTAGGAGTGTTGATAAGTTTTGATGGAATATTTTTGTTTTTGAAAATGGCAGCAATTAGACATGCAAACTTAAGTTGCGGAACTCGCAATGCTACCAGTCAAAGATATACAATTTCAAGTATAACACATAATTTGACGGACGAAAAGGTCAGGTTTACGGATTATTATAGTTACATATTAATCCGTGGTCAGATCGCAGGTTACTGGAAACCCGCGAGCTGTCGTGCCATACGTACAATGTACAATAAGTTTATTTTAATTAATAACTTATTTTCTTAATTCTTTTGGTGGAAATTTGTATTTTTTTGTATTTTGGTTGCCAATGGTTAATCGGGCAGAATAGGTTTAAGCATGAATCAAATCGAATCTTCGCACATTGCCTACCAAGGAGGATGAGTTGCACTTTAGCCGCTCATCGGTGTGTCCACAATCAATATAAAAAATAAAATAAAGACAAAACATATTATTATTCATATAATCGTATAGAATCTTTTTACCACCACGAACCACTTCGACCATATTTTATAGGTCACGGACCACTACAATTTTATGAAAACTAGGAAGATCTTTTTGTTTTTGCTCCTTAACAAGAATACACAAAAATTACTATGTACTCTGATACCTACACACTTATAAAAACAGAAAATACTTTTCGGTCGTTGGCAGTAAACAACGATAAGATAACCATATAAATCCTCAATAAGTCGTAGTGTTTTTGGCTATAAATACTTTGTAATAGAAATCGAAGAAAAAATCTATAGTACCACTTATGACTGGCTCACTAACCACCAGTTGGGAAACACTGATATAGATAGTATAGTATGCAGTATGCACCTAGCGGGGTCTGCAATCCACTTGTGGTGGATTGCCTATCTTATAATATACTGCTCGCATTATCACCATTAGACATCAAGTCTCTTATATAGATATGGCATTTTTAACGAGCAACGAGGTGCACGGGATCAGTTATAATATTGTAAAATATAAAAATAGTTTATAACACAATGTGGATAAAATGAGTTTGGTCCGATTCACGAAAAAATAAAAAAATGATCCATGTTGTGTAATGAAACATAATTTTCAGTACACGAAAAGAGCGATTTTACTAAGTGGATTTGACATATACCATTATACATATTAGCTATATAATAAGCTGAATCCTAATTTTTTTTTTAGATTTGAAGTGAATTAAATTAAATTTTTTGGTACCTATAGACAGAATACATAATAATATAATAACATATTAAATGTATATTAATATATTATTACGTACAAATATATTATAATACAATTTGAATTTAAAATATTGTTTTTTTCAAATGTATCTGCTTTCAATCTAGATAAATTCAGATTATCTATTGTCTAATAAATAGATAATTTTAGTTTAGTTTATTTTTATCTTTATCTAAATAGATTTTAGGTACCTACCTATATTATCTGTATCTAGATGAAAAACTATTAATATGGCTTCGACACTGTAGAAACGTACAATTTAATTTAAAAATCAAGTTAGTTAATAAAAATTCACGTTATCTGTATAAAGATTGCTTAGAAATAATTTTGGTTTGTTCGTTTAATAATAATAATAATAATTGTTAACTATAAAGTTTAAATAAGGCGGAAGCACTACCCGAGTATAACATGAAAGCAGTGTAGTCTGCCTCAATATAAGAAAAAATTGTATTATTCGAAGGTTATGCGAAGTAATTATAATATTACTAATTAAAGTAATATACAAATATTTGTGTGACTTTTATTAGAATATATATGGTCCTCGACTACCTGCATTATATTGCATTTCTACGAACCGGTCGGGAAACTTGATTCCATGATGAATTTTAGTTCCTGTTGACGTGCAGAAGTATAGATATTAAGCCGCGGAAAGTCGTTCACATTCAATCCATTTTTATTCAATTCGGTTTTATTCTTTGTCAATCATCTTAATCATAATATAATATTATTATGAAATCAAGTTTAGCGGAAAATGAAGGTTACGCGAAATATTGTCGAAAAACAGTTTCCTAGAAGAGATTTTGGAACAGTAGATGCCATAAAATATGAAACGGTTTTAACAAACCGAATAAACACATCCTATAACATGTAACATAATATACTAATAATAATACATTACATAGCGTTGAAAATCATTATATTCACCAATATGTAGGGCGGTTACGGGACTTGTTCGTTTTACAATAGTCTCAATTCACAGCTCGACACTTACAAGTATACTATAAGTATTGTATTTTTGTATTATGTTTCGAGTCTTCGCTTATTATCGCTCTCTCTCTTACACATACGCACATTCTCTTTCTCACTCGTCTCAGTTTTATTTCTAGTGCTGGCGAAACGAGTGACCACGACGGAGGTTCGAGCGTGAGGACAGTGCATTATTTTGTACCATACGTCGACGATATGTTTGAAGGCAGTCGAGTGAAAACGCTGAACAAGTCGAATACATCGAAACGTTTGAACGATGTCGTACTTCATAATGTGTCGGGAATGTCATCGCAGGTTAAAATAATAATTTCGCTCATTTCGTAACCATTCTGTCGATATAATCGTGGTAATAACTCATATTTATACAGTGGCGAACTGATTGTCTAAACAAACATCCGTTGGCCTGTGTAATTGTATAGTATATGATATTATAAATTATAATATTTAACGTGAATAATTCATGATGATTTCTATCATTTATAATATGTAATTGTAGTCGAAATGTTTCTAAATAAATACTCAAGATTTGTTAACGAAATAAAGTTTAAAAAAATAGTCGTTCGATTCGTCATTATAATCCCAACAAAAAAAGTGCACTTTAAAATATTTACGATAAGCGCATATGTAGTATTTGTGCTGTTTATCGGGTGTCAGGTACTTGAAAAATACATTTTGACAATTTGAAAAATTACAAACTTTGGACCATTATCGAATGAATGATTTGTATAGGTAGTATTGTTTATTCCGTCAACAATAATAATACAATTATCTATTCAAAATATTATACAATACACCTACCTGTTGAGGTATGATATTTGATATTTCACAAAAACGTATTGGAAATCTGAGAATAATCGTTCATCTGTGATTTTTATTTATTCGTGAACAAAATGCATTAGTCGAAAACTGCTCAAAATCTCGACTGGGAAGCAACACGAACCACCCGAAATTCAAGCAAAGGGGACTGTGCCGACGGGCTTTTTCCCCGCTCTCCAAAAAACTGCAACCGAACGACTTGCACCCAGACACATAATATACGGCCATACAGGGTGTCCTGTGTACTTTTTAAAAGATGTGATTGATCATTGAAATGTGTAATGAAAATGCATTAAAGTGCTCGTGAAAAACACCACGAATATACCGAACGGATTCAACGGTAGACAATTAACTTGACGAAAAACGACGAAAAGTGTGTTTTAAACTGACGGCAATGTCAAAAACTGAGTGCTTTGTGGGACACCCTGTATCATTTTTTATAATAATATAATACACGCGCGGTGGCGGCGGTTGTCGACGAGCATAGTATTATTATCATAATTAATGGACAAAATAATATTACGTGTGGCACAGTTTAGTGCGCACAACAGTTTTCACGGAATATGGGCCGTCGGGCGGACGGCGGTCGAATTATAAGATATTATTATGTTAAGTTCGTATACTCACACTCGGTTTAATATTCGAAATCACGATCGTCGAAAACCAACGGTATTTTCGACGTCTATACTTGACCGGTTATTCGTTTTATCTTTTTTTATTTTTCATTCGACAATCTCCGTCGGTACACGAATATATTAATATAATACTATCAAACATAATACAACGAGATTACAAAAATATTACGAATCGAGTGGTTCCCGAAGGCCTTTGCCCTCGGACTATCTCTAATTAACGATAAGACCAGTGATGAAATCGATTTGTTTTAATATTAAAATATAATATCATGAACACTTTTTTTTCGTGCGCGGCGTCGACGACTCTTCGGGAACCGTCGGATAGCATTGCGCCTACAATTAATATTACAAGTACAAAATAGTCACAAATTGCATTGATAGGACCAGCACCGCTGCTACGTACATATCATACCTCCGCCACTGCCGTACAAAAATGAGTGAAATAGTATATTAGCGGCGGCGGCGGCGGCGGCGGCGGCGGCGGTTTCCAATAAATTTCACATTGGAAAAAAAACCGCCGATAAAGAAGCCACTTGCGCAAACACAACAATTATTATTACAATGACACACGAGTACATGACACCGATGTAAACATCAGAGCCTACGATAATGGTCGATATCAGGGTATGACGTGTGATGTCGATTCGTGTCGTGTGCGTGTCAATCGCATTATATTATAGCACAGCACACCAATATTGTATTGTGCATCCGTTGTCACTTATTTTGTCGGTTCGTATTGCGTGTCGTTTCACGATCGGCGTAAAATAATATAAAATGTTACAAAGCTGCGCAGTGGCGTCATATTTTTCTGGACTCGAGATAATTTTCAATTTTTTTTTTTTGCCGACCGGTTATTAGGAAATAATAGGACATCGTACACGTTTGTCGAAACTTGCATTCAGCGGTTCCAATTCTGAGGTTGAATATTAGAGTGAATAATAATAGAGTTGAAATTTAAAAACGCTCATAATTAGAGATTAAAAATTTAAATATTGTGAAAAATCCAACGAGATAACGCACATCGCGTTCTTGAACCTCCCGTTATCTTTGAGTTTGACGGTCGGTCAATTGTCTCTAATATTAGAGCTGAGTACAGAAAATCGGAACTGCTGAACGCAAATTCGGCGTGTTGTCCGACTGTAAGACTGAGAACCTAACGACAACGTCGACAACGCGTGAGGCTGCCACGTCCCCTCGAGTTACCAAAAGGCCTGAACGAGACGGCCGAATGACGCCACCGCTTTGCAGTGATACAACCTGAATAGATACGTACCGGCCCACTTGCCACACTTGACGAAATCGACGGTGCCCCGGCACAGGGCCGACGGGCCGAACACGTGCCGGTACGCGAACCGCATGGCGGCCCGGGTGAGGCGGAGCACGACCAGGGCCACGAGCAGCAGGCCCAACTTCTCCAGCACGCTGTTGGTGGACGAACCGCCGGTCGAGGTGGTCGACTGTTCTGCCGAAGAGGACATGATGGCGGCGGTTACGTGTGCTGCAGTGGCGTCGGCTGTGGAAAAAAAAAATACGGTCCGCTGCTTAGACAGTTAACCGGGAAAAACGACGACAACTCGACGCTCGATTTCACTGTTCCCTGATCCAAACCGTCAATCGACTTGGGTTCGTTGTCAGGTATTTCGGTCGGTTTCGGATCGGTTCGACGTTCGAGTCGATGCGTCGTCAACGTTTTTTACGGTACTAACTGGTGCTCGGTTGCGCGGGGCTTGCGACTGCGACGACTATTTAATCGCGATCGAAATGTACTAATAATAAAATGGGTATCAGGTTTCGGCGGCGGCGGCGGCGGCAGTGTCGTTGGAGGTGGCCGGGTGGCGGGAGGAGTGGCGGAGGACGCGGACTCGCTTGTTGTGCGGAAAACGCTGACCACTACCACCGGACTTGTCGTGCAGCAGTCGCGCGTACTTATCAGCAATAATAATTTTGCTGCACACACAATATTATAGGCGTATTATACCGGTTTCTCGTCGTAGTAGTCGGCGGCGGCTCACACACACACACACACACACACACACACACACGCTCGCACACCCGTGTACGGTACGTCATAGCGAATGCGAGTTATATGGGTTGTTTTTATTCGCGTGATTTCCGCGTTGTTTTTCTAGGCGGATTTTTTTTTTCATGTTACCTGCCCGACACGACAGAAACGATTCCTGTTCCTCGGCAGGTTCAAGTCGGCCCGACAATATTATACTCGTCCGACTGGTTTTTCGTTTTCCGCGTGCACATGACGTTAATGTTGTGGGTATGGAGTTTTATCGTAGAACAATATTACCACCGTCATTTGAGCCGCGAGTGGAGGCGACGTACTCCAAAACGAAATCGGCAGGATGTACCTACCTATAATATTGTTATGTCGTCGAGTGTAGACCTAACTTTATAGTTTTCGTCCTGAGGCGGCGATAATATAACTTTGGCCCGGACTTTTATGTAAATCGGTAATATTCCGGTACACTTGACTTTGAATAATTTTGAATAAATATACATCGACGTTTCGTAATGCGCTCATCACGGTCAGTCATTTGTTTTTTCATATCTGGGTGAACATGAGTTAAACGTAATAATTGGTCAAAGTCTTAAAATTGTTGAATGCGACAGTCTGATTTTTAACCCAAGACGATCGAACTGATGAATCATAATTTATAATTTTCAATCAATTACAAGTCTTAATTATAGGTAAATTAATAAAAAAAAAATTAACAATACTTGATAGCTGATACTCATACAGTTTGGTTATGTTTAAAAACATGTAATAGCTTTCCAAAAATTGTTTTTTTCTGTGTGCCTATTAAATACGTTCGATACACATTTTTTGCATGTTTTTGAGATTCTAAAATATTTTTTGCATAAAAATCCCGGGTTAACCACCAAATATACTTGTTCTTACCATCGACTACTAATAATATATATACTGGTATATGCGGTTCAACGATAATTGATTATAGTACATAAGGCAAGGTGTGCAGCTATGTTACTCACAGGTAGGTATACTAACTTCTTCGAGAAACCCCAATGTGGTGACGAATGGAATTGTATTCAATTATAAAAAAACAAATGATGAATTTTGAACACCACCGATTTGAAAGGCAAACAATTAATTTTGATTTAAAAAATAATTAAAATAAATAAAGTTACATTTAAAACGCTCGATATTATTGAAGTCTTATAATATTTAATTACATCGTATTTCTATATTATAATTTAAATTTAAATGGTATATTGTAACCTTATTTTTTGCATTTAAAGGTTGTTGATAATTTGTATGAAATATTTAAAAATAATTTTCGTAGGTAAGCTTAAAATAATAAAATACCAACACTCCCTAAAATTACTTTTATATTTCGCTCATGGAACCTTTAATTTACAAAAGACATACTCAAATATAGTATTTACTATATTATAAACTATAATAAATGGTACTTTATTACTATTATTAGTACCTACAACTCAAGACCAATGACGACCATATTAATATCATTAATATACTTTTAATCACGTTGGAAATAATTTGAAATTAATTATTAAAAATATTTTCATTTTAGAAAACGCGATAACGATAATGTATACGTCAAGGTTTAAGTAGTTCGAGTTTAGTTGGCCATTTTACTACTATCGGCAAGTAACCCTACAAATTGCGATAAGAACGATATCGGGTCTCACTCACGTGCCAAATATACGGTGTTCAAATCCTGAAGTAAAGCGTAACAGTTCAAAAAAAAAGTCAAATTTAGCGTTATTTTTCAAAAGTGAGTGTGAAATATTCAAGAGTTAGTAAGAATGAAATATACAACAAAATGTTAGATTTTTAATTTGATGAGAACAATTTTTTTTTAATCTCATTTGTATTAAATATTTTCTTGGAAATGCAATATGTCTGAAAGCACGTCAAATCACACTTATCAGTTATTGCCTATTACTAGGTAATAAAGTATTATTAATAACTGTAGCTGTCATCCACTTGCCTCGGAAACTGTTGGTTGGAATATACATTTTATCTGTAAGCTGTTCAAATACTCGTGAGATATCAAAAGCAAAAAAGTTATTTCAACGAATAACACTGCGACAGTGTGTAGATATGTCGTTGCCCTATCCGATCAATAAAACTGTGTTGTATTAATACAACTGATAAGTTATAACAGACTCAAAAATGAAAAAAATTGGTTTACACCGTTCCGGGGCAAAAACTGTTACATTCCAAACACTGGTCAATAATACAATAAACCAAGTTCGTCCTAGAACAGGTATGTCAACAAATAATTAAGGTCTGCTGCAATTCATCGAACAAAAAAATTACAAAATTTTGGTTCAGTGTCATAATTAGGTTAGTGAGAAGTATACATAATTATGTCATTTCTCTGTCTCATCTTCGATAAACTGTAATCGAATAAGTATTGTATACAGAGAGTAAAAAATTCAATTAAAAATGTGTATAAAATACTATAAAACTATAAAACTATTCAATTTCATATTTGGCCCAGTTAATAATATTTGAGTTCAACATTCACGTCCTAGACGCTGCGTTTATTATTATTTGTTATTATAATCAATGTCGTCGTCGTCGCCAAGTTCAACAAAACTTTACACTACCTGTATTAAACTACTTTTTAGCTATGCGTCGGATGATTTAATAATACTGTGATGATAGGTACTTTTTTTATTTGATAATAATTTCAGAACACTTACGTCATATGATAGGTAGGTAATAATTATTTATACTAAAGGTAATTAAATGTTATACGTACACGTAGCTGCGATTCCAGACGACCGTCCACGTGGTCGTTGTGTCGGTTCGATGATTTGTTACGACTAATGAAGTCCATCATAATAGTAATAGTAATTATTATAAATTATTATTGTGGTACGTTTTGATTACGGCGTGTTTGTTACGCATACGTTTTAAGCCACACACGCGCATGTGCGCGTTAATGGTTAAGTCGTGGAAAACTGTGGCACAGCAAGACTTGATCGGTGAGAACATAACGATGTTGATTAAAAAATATTATAACAAAGCGTAATATTGTGTATTATTTTACAAAACTGTTTTTTTTAAATAAATATTATTCTGGTCAAGTGATAAGGTGGCTGATAGCCGCGGCGGCGGCCCAGCGAAGAGCCGGCCGTCGATCGATACGACGTCGGCGGCGGCGTTTTAGCATCCGCCGCGCGCTCACCGGCCTATTATATTATTATTATATTTTGTTTAAACACTTTATAATCGTATATAATAATTATGTGAAATATATTATGTAATCTATACGTTATTTATTTTAATAGCCACCAACGCGGTTTTAGGTATATATGAAAAATCGAAATCAAATAGAAAAACCGTCTATGTGACTATGTACACCATTTAAATAATATGCAATATAATATTGTATTGTCGTCATAATAATAATTAATAATAATACTACTATGCTCTTTATATTAAACAAATCGTAAAATATATTAGAATATAATAATAATTAGAATACTATTTCATACAGTAATATTACTTGCTGTTATTGAACCGTAAGTTATGAGTCATAAGTCAATAGTCAATACCGACGTCCTCTCAATTATTAATATCAGTCTTCTTTGTTTTTAGTATTATAATATGAATAATAATAAAGAACCACAAAAGCATAATGAACTAAATTATTGTACTTGAGGTATCAAAAACTGCTTTAAATTTACAATACATCTAGATGTGAATATAATAATATAATGAATTCATAAGTATTAATTGTAATTACTTAATTTACTTAATTGTATTTACTTAATTAACTGTTAATTCGTCAAGTAAAACTAGTTTAAATTTATAATTTTAATTCAACTTTCAAAACATAATATAAAGTAGTGTTACTACCACAATGACAACAACTAAGAACATAATAATGTAAGTATACAACAATTAGTAGACCATATTATTTATTATATTAACATATTTTAAAAGTAGACAATTCCGTACTGTATATTTTTCAAAATATAATATTATCACTAGTCAAAGATGGATTTAGGTACACAATTTATCCATGTATACCGTATACATTCAAATTGATAATCCTTATTTTCTAGAATGTAGAATGTAGTAGGTACATTTTTTTTTTTTATTACAGTGCAATCATTTATTTAAAAACATGCATTTTTATCAGATTTCTTCTTAGAACTCTCGGACTTATAGTCCAACGGAGGGCATTGAAAATGTATTAAATTATGGTCTTGTACATAATTATTTTGTTTTCCAGCGCATTCTGTAACCCAGTCAATGACGTATTTTATTTGTTTCTCTGAAAGTGCTGGTCCAATCCCTAACATCACACGAGTACGTTTTTCAGGATGTTTTATTTTTGAGTCGACCTTTTTATCCACTATTGGTATATCTATTGATTTTTCTAAACTATTTAAATGCTCTCCACATTCCTCAAATGTTTCATTATTTCGATCAAATGGCTCTTCTGGCGTGTCTGTGCACTCAAACTGTGCAGATTCCGATAACTCGTGTAATGTTAATTGATCTTCATCGAATTTATTGTTGTCAGTTATTGACAGTAAATCATCTTTGGATGAGTAAATGGCACTGTTATCGGATTCCGAATGAATTGAACTTTTTTCTAGCGCCCCCGAACGATTACTTTGTTGGTCAGTATCTGAGTGACGAAATCCATCAGAACCGCTACTAATTTCACTGCCCGAACTTTCTTTATCATTCGTCATGTAAGTATTCTCATCAAAGACCTGTTTAATTACTTTTATGTTATTATTATCATCATCCGCAGCATTAAGATTTAAATCGGTTTTATCTAATATTGAAAATTCAGATTTTAATGACTCATTGTCTCCTAAAGATTCATCCACGGCTTCAATATTTGACAATGGATCATTTGCATTAGTAACTAAAGCCATCATAACAATGAAATCTTTGTTTACTTCAATGTTTGTTAAGCTATTTATATTATTTATGGTTTCTTCATTCATCTCAGAATCTATCTCATTTATGTTGTCTTCATATTTTATCATACTCATTTCATCCAGTACTTCAGAATTTACAGTATAGTCATTATACTTGTCTTCGTTTTGAACTCCAGAGTCATTTTTTTCGTAATTTGATTCTGTTAATACTAAAGATGAAGGGTTACCGATCATTTCTTCATTACCAAGTTCACCAAAACTCAGATGTTCGGCTTTCTGTGTAGTATCTGACATGGAGTCAAATGAGATTTCTGATTGTGGGTCATTGCATATCACACTTTCAGCACTAAGTTGTGACAGGATTTCTTGATCATACGGATTATCTTTTAATTTCTTTATTAACAATTCATAGTCCTGATCATCACAAACTGTAGTAATCATTGGAGTATTGATCATTGGTGCACGTAGAATTTCCGTTAACGATTCGGGCCCATGATCCATATTTACGTCCTGCCAAACCATAATGCCTTCTGCTGATCTAGTATCTAATAAATTGGTTGATGGTTCTTCAACTTCAGGGTGACAAGAAAATTCGGTATCCAAACTGCAGGTTTGAGAAGATGAAGAACTGAAGCATTGGCTCTTTTCATGAATACTATTTTCTTCGGAATTTTCTATTTCAAGTTCAACTAGTGAATTTTCATTTGATGATAATACTACGTCTACACAATCAAGCCTTGCCAAATATTGATAAATTTCCACAAATATTTCCAATAAAATACCACTTGAGTGATCTGTAGATAACGTATCGCACAATAATAACATTGTACCTTTTAAGCTATTGTTTAGGTAAGCTGCTGCAATTCCAATAAATTCGTTTGATTTAATATCATTTTTAAAATTGCCAATTTTAATTATTTCCATAAATATTTTTTTCTTAAGTGACAAAATATTCCACATTGTCTCTATTTTATCATAAGTCTCATATTCATTAGATAAAGTCTTAGCCAGTGCCTTTAATGTATTTGGAGTCAAGCCACCAGGTCCAAGTTTTAGGTCAGGAGGATCCAAATATTCTTTTACTGGTGGCTGTTTACCACTAGCTTTCATAGAAAAGTAAATTGAAGACCATAGAAGTAGGTTTGAAGGTTGAGTGCGTATTGCAGCTTTTGACCATTCTGACAACAGTTTTGACAAATAAAGAGGAACTTCAATCTTACCGGTGGTAATGAAATGATTTTTAGCACCACAACTTTTATTTCCAAACATATCAGTATATCACACGTACAAACATTTGTAAAATATATGCATATAAATTAATATAGCTTAACTATAAATAATATTCTTAATATTGCATTGTATTTGTTTAGCTCTTTCCTTAGCAATTACAAAAACTAAACTTCAAGATATCGTTTCTATAAGAGCAATATTTATACTTGATAACTATGACAGCTGTTTAATTCATTTAAAGACAAACAATCTGTATATGTTGCAAAATATTTGGAGGAACATTTAATATCTTAACAGTTAAAAAAAAAATAGTAAACTAATGGTAAACTTTTTTTTTAAATCATAAAAATATTTTCTGTAACCCGATCATGTCATTTTATTATAATACTATTTTTAGAGTTCTTTAACAACCATAAATAAATCAGATACAACAATTGTGTGTAATAAGTTAGCCATTATGTTTAATATATTATTATTTTAATAAATTCGTCAGTAAATTGTCTACAATTGATTTACACATGCAAACCCCTGTCTTCATCGTATATTCGTATATTTATTGTTTATTTTGAAAAAAGAATAATATAAATGGTCAAAATGTTACAATGTTACCTATATGGAATTTATCGTTAGTGGTTTTTTTTTTTAATTGTATTGAAACAAATCTATTGAATCGTAATCTTATTTAAAAATGATCCACTACATTAAGTATACACACTCAATAATATCGTGATCGGGTAATCGGTAAGACATCTACTAGAAAATGAAAATTTGACCAAAAGAAAGTGTCTAACGCTAACTACTAGCTAACTACATTGTCTAAAGAACTTTTAGTAAACAATTAGGTTATAAGATCTGTTGTTCTTTAATGGAAGTGAATGATATACTTTTCTACGATATTAAATTGTATGATAATATTAATACTCACATACGAAAAAACAAATAAATAGGTATGTACGCCGTTCGTTGTACGTTTAATTGGTAACTAATCTGTTCAAAAAACGTGTCGTTGAGTTTGTATTTTCTGTATTTCTTAATCATTGATAGGAATCTAGGTTTCTACTTAACAAATATACAGCAGATTGGTTTGAAATTCTATTAAAAATGCAGTTTTAAAAATTAAATATTGATTGGCCTAATTATAATTAAGTAAGACTTAACAGTATCCAAAGTAAATACCAATAAAGTAAATATTTATAACATAACTTATTATACGTCATTTAATACGCTTAAACTACAAAATATATTTACAAATTTAATCCTGGTAGAATAAATTAATTGTTATTATAACACATACAAAAATATTTGAATGTGGCTAAATAGCTTTTTTAGTAAAACAAATAAAAATGAATGCGAGGACACGACTCAGCACACTATTAATGAAGATAAGGTTAACGAGGATAAGGTTGAAGAGGATAAGGTTAAAGAGGAATCAATCAAAATCTGTGAGAAAAAAGAAGAGAAACCAATAATTAAGGCTGATTTGCCAGAACGAGTTGAACACGTAAAAATAGAAGAAGAAAATTTACCAGCATTACAAAATAAACAAGACTTAAATTTAAACAATGACACTACAAACACAAAAAAAAATGAAGAAATAAATAATTGTAAAATAGAGGCCGTCCTAAGGATTATACCAGTTTTAGAAAAAAATATACAAACACTTACCAATAAGGTAAATATAAATCGATTTGTTGATAAAATGTTTTAATGATTTTTAAATTAATGTAGGTATCTTGTCTATCTGGCTTAATTAATACGAAACAGCTCAATGCCAAAATAGAAACTGAACAAAATATAATTTTAAACAATTCTAATTTAAATAGTCCAAACCCAGTAAATAAATCGAACGATATAGAGGATACAACGACACCGAAAAAGAAAGATATTAAAATTCCAAAAATTTCCAAAAAAAATAAGAAAAAGACCAAAAATAAATTAAGTGTAACAAAAAAAAAAAAAAAAAAGCCGGAAAACCCCGTAAAACCTGAAACAAAGCTTACCGAAACTATTAATGAAAATGTTCAAGTGACAAATCCCGAAAATTCAGATCAGAACAATGGTAAGTCAATTGACCAGTTGTCCAATTATTTGGATGGGCGATTAGAATGCTTTTTTACAAAAATACAGTCAGCATTGTCGCAAATTAAAATTGATAAGATAAACGAAAAATGTGAAATTATGGTTCATCTATCCGGACTGGATAATAAAATGAACACAAACGAAATAAACATAGATAAATTAATGTCAAATGTGCAACAGTTAAGTAGAAAAAACCAACAGGAAATTATGAAAAAACGATCAAGTATGAAAACAGAAAATAATAAACAAGAATTGCAAAAAAGCATAGACGATATTAAAATGTGTATTGATTACCTAATACAACCAAATGCAGTTGACGTACGGCAAACTCAACAGTGTACCGATACTCCAATCACGAACAAAAATACTGGGTGTACCTCGGATCGGTGTGTTTGCCAATTAATAAACAATTCTAATGCGGCTAATATAGATATGATAAATTCAAGCGATGGTTACAATCAGATAAAGTACGGTGATATCATTCTATGTGAGTTTTTAAAAGCAAAGCTAACTGCGGAAATGTTTAAACGTAATGAACATCAAAATACGGGGCAGGTAAATCAGTTTTCGAATAAAAACGACGACAAAAAAATTAGCCATTCATCAGTATGTTCAAAGAAATCAAACAATGTTTTAAAAGATTGTGCTGGAAATCAAATCGACGACAAAAAAACTTGCAATACATCAGTTTGTTCAAAAAAATCAAACAATGTTTTAAAAGATTGTGCTGGAAATCAAATCGA